ACATTACAGTGGGGAACTGGCTAACCCGTCTCATTAACTCATCATAAAACAACACTGCAAAGCCAAAATTGAGGCGTTTCCCCCTATGCACTGAGCTCAGCTTGTTTCTGATTTCATATCAGTATAACTCTGTGGCCTCACCGCCCAGCAAAAGCCACAATGTTGACATTTTCCATGGTTTTACAAAAACATGTGAGTCATATTCATTTTCAATACAACTTTGACTGTGGTAAATATTATGCACAGAACTAATGAAAACCACTGGGAAAACACAGTGCCATCCCCGAGAGCAGCTAGAGAATCAATAAGACTTAACCTCTGAGATTTTATTTATCTCATTTTGAAACAATCTAAACAAAACAAATCAACCTTAAGCTGTGACTCTGGTTTTTATAATGGTATTCAATCTGGCTAGAAGTAGTGTAAACCATTCCAGGAGGGTTTTATTATTTTCTCATAAGCTACTTATCCAGGTGCTGGCAAAAAGAGACCGAGTTTGAAAAACCTTTCTGCTCTACATAGAAAGGGGGATTAGCTGCTAACTTGCTTTGTATCTTCTAAGCCTGTTTTTATTATGCTTTTATTCTCTCACAGAAGTTGTAGCCTAGTTGTTGCACAGTAGACGTGCTCCTTATTTTTGCTAATCTGTTTAGTGTTCGCTGTGGGTCTTAACTCCTGTCTCCCCATTCTCTAGGGGTTTGGACACATAAACAGGACAAATCACTTCGACACTATAGGAGACGTTCATTTCTTGCTAATATAACTGCTGTCATTTGCATAGTGTGGCAATCAGCACAACAAATTAGCAGGTGTATGGAACATAACTCTGCCAAGCTGATAACTGATGAAACTGCTGATGTGCATCTGGAGTTAATATACATTTCTTTGGGATGAGTCTTCAATCATTTTACAGTATGCGACAGCAATTTACCAAACAAACCACTGTGTAAGAGGAGAGATGAGAGTTGTTTTTTTTAAAGAAGCTATGATATGTGTAGGTGTATGAACATCAGTTGGAAAGACTTTGGTTTGTGGTGTGTTTGACAGTCAACAAAATGCTTCACAATGCTGGATACATGCAAAAGAATCCAAAAGTATTCTTTTCATTGACTGTATTATACATTATAAAATTAGTGTGATCAGTGTAGTGATAATATCAAGGCTCATGCTGTACATACATTTCTGCCAGCTTACCTACATCCAAATGTCCAGGTCTTATCTAACACTAAACAGTACTGAAATACCTTTGGGCCCTTGTTCCATGATTCTTAACAAATGTTACACATAGCAGCAGAAGGTTTAATATATTTTGGCCACTAGAGGTCGCCCTAAACAAATTCTTAAACCGATAACATGCCTCCAACAGTCTCTCAGACTGTAGTGGCTGCGCTGCTGCATGTGAAAGGCCACAAAGGGTGATAACCTCACACATAGACATGTATAACATAGGTCTGTTGGACATGTCATCAATTAAAATGTATTGCTTTGGTCAAAATGGAAATGGAAATTAATCCACTCTGTTAAATATATTTATGAAAATTAAGAAAAACAATGGCCACTTCCAAAAACAAAGCTAAAGAACATGTACATTGTAAATTTTTAATCCACTTATTTACAAGTTAAACCCATGAGACAGCAAGCACCTGACCAGCAACAGCATCCTTGAGCAGGTCACAGAACCCCTATGAGCTGCAGGGGTGCCACTGAGCAGCTGACCATAACTTTTACCCTCCATGTGGGCAGCAGAAAGGAAAAAGATAAATCTCTCCTTCGGGGATCAATATGCTATCACAAAACTGCCATTTCAGCCAAGAAGCATCAGTCATCTTTTGCATGTGTTTGGTCATAGCCACAAAAACTGCAAATGGACCCTTTTTCTGATCTTGGGGGTCATTCGTTTCTCTGACCACATACTGCATGGTGGCATCACTTTAATCAAGTCTACCATAATTTGGCAGGCCGCTTAGAGTGACAGTCAGCACCGCAGTGACGGTCCCCGTGGGGAGCACCATGATCAGTCCCAACAGAGCATCAAAAATGACATTTCTATTATTTCCTTTGAATTACTGCCCTGGACCACAGGTTAAGAGCCAATAGGGGGATATGCCTGGGTTTCAGAGCTACGACAAAGGAGGGCCATCACAGGCCATCGACATCCTACTTTATGGCTATATTTATCACCATTATATACTGCTGTCACAACTGTGTTGGGCTGATGCAAAGGAAAAGAAAACTTACTGTATTGTTTTCTCCAGATATCTCAAAGTGAAACAGAACAGATGAAAATAATTAAGGTCCACATGAACTATTGAGACAAAATCAATTACTTTATAATTGTCAGTCTGCCATACAGCCCTGGGCTTACTATAAGATTAAACTAAAACAATCTGGACCATTTTAACACATTTCTGTGTTAGTGCTCAATTAACTGTTTAGTTAGTTGCCAAAGGAAAACCATTAATCATATTTATTTCACAATTTTCTCACAAAAACACAATGTTGACATTATTTTTGTGTTGGTAACTTTTCATTACATGATAATTGATATTTAATCTGCTGAACAATCCATGAATTTAAAAAACTCAGTAGCTTATAGAATAGAAACAATAATTTGCTGCAGCTCCAGTCCGCATAACCTGTGGGCCTCGCTGCCACACATCACTAGAGAAATGTGACCCTCTGAATGATCCTGATCAAAAGATCCTGCTAACAAGCAGAAGTGCTTCAGCGCTATGACAGCCCTTAGCTGGGAGCAAAGACTAGGCAGATTATGTGTCACCACAGAGCAGCAGCTCTGAGGTGACTGGAAAAACACTGAAGCACCATAATTGGGGCCCATGTAGTAAACACATGGAAATAAAAAAGTCTAGGTACGTTTCTTTCTTCTGAGAAAAGTAGTGGATGTCAGAAATTTGTCACTAACCTAGATGAAAGTAACACTCAGTAGTCTATTTTCCTGCTAGTGCAAAACTGACATACATTCAAGCATCTGCAATTTTTACTGGGTGTAAGTCAATGCTTTTATACACTGGTGTTTTTTGGTATTTTCCTGCAATGAATGAATGCGCTTTCGCTAAAGCAGTGGTTCTCAAAGTGTGGGGCGCGTCCCACTAGTGGGGAATAAAGCCATGACAGGTGGGGTGCAATGAATGGAGAAAATTAGAAATGGGTCATTAATACAAGTAAATTAAAATAAATAGCTCGGGGCCCGGGAGAAAAAAGTGAAGCCATAGTGCAACAACGACAACGGTTTAATGCCGGCATGTTAATTGCCACGCAACAATATAAGGAAAGGTTCACACAGAGGGCCAATAGTGTACGTAGTGGGCATAATAACGTAAATGGATAAATTTGTTACATGGACCACAAAAGAAGCAGGTGATTCAGCGCAAGCAGACAAAGAAACAACAGGCAGTAGCCTTATCAATCAAAAAGCCAGCTGAAAAGAAAATATGATGAAGGATTCACGGTGGGAATGGTGGGGGCAGAGGAGAGACCCATGTGTGTCTTGTGTCTTAAACCGCTGGCAGCAGACAGCATGAGACCCAACAAATTAAGACATTTAGAGACAACACACCCCAGTCACGTTAATAAGCCACTCGACTGGCAGAAAACCAGGAAAATGGTAAAATCTGCATCAGTGAACAGCCAAGCACAAATGGCTTCATTCAAAGTTGGATACAGAATTGCACGGTGCAAAAAAACCACACAAAATTGCTGAGCAGCTCATTCTCCCTGCTGCTGTAGACATGATGTTGATTATGCTGGATGAGACAAGTGCTGCAAAATTGAAACTATCCCCCTGTCAAACGATACAGTTGCACTTGAATTTGGTGTTACCAATATTTGATATTTCAATACATTTGAAATTTAAAAATTGACCGATTTTGTTATTTTTTTGACAAGTGGGGCTTAAAAATTCGCCCACCCTCTTAAGTGGGGAATGACAAAAAATGTTTGAGAACCACTGCGTTAAAGTCTTTATGCTGATTAAGCAGCATGCTGCAATTTTGGTCATTTAGACTTGAAATTTTGTCTCCAGGTGCAAATGCAGGTGCACTGCAATTTTGAATCCTAGCAGAGCAGTTGTGGACATAAGGGTTTATTTTAAGTTGACTGTTAAAATACATCTGGGTACCTGTTCTTGTGATTCCCAGGTAGGAGATTAAGTTTTACGTAGGTAAATAATTTTCATATATTTCCATATATGCAGCCATGGCAACTCTGCACAAACACGTATATCAATTTCATTCTGTGAAAACTCTGATGGAGCCTCTCCAGATCAGCCATCATCACCAAGCCAGCTTTATACAGTGCTTTTAAAGGGGAGGGGAGGAGACATCAGACATACATGTATGCAGTAGGTTGCTGTTTTAATAGTGTGCTATCATTCCTACAAAACAACAGCTACAGTACGGACTTAATTTGTTTTTTTTCATGATAACTTCAGGTCTGCTCAAAGCCCCAAACTGTCTTTAAACCTATTTATAGTTAGAGGGCAAGTAATGTCATTATAGTTCCACTTAAAAAGTCATTAAAATGCAAGTTCTCTACAGAATGATTTCATCATCAAAACTGAAATGAGCTCAGCAAAGAGAATGACTCATTAAACATGAAATGTTACAGCTCTGATTTCTACTCGTCATGCAAGTGCACCTCGTTCATTGTTGCACAAATACACACACACCATGCAGCTAAACACAGCAAGCTGTTCTTGTATGACAGATGTCTGTTTCACACACCAACAGGGCATCTGCTGATACACACAGTAAAGCGTTGCACACCTGCCTGCCTGTCTGGCTTATAAGCAGCTCAGTACTGTGATCACTGGCAATTTCAAATAATTGTTCATTAAGTGAATTTAATTGAATGCAACTGCATAGGGAAACTTTAAATGTTAATTCGGTGCAGCATAGAGCACAACACAGTTTACACATTTATAATTTGTGTCTGCGTATGTGAGTAGAGGTGTACAGTATACACATGCTAAGTGACATCACCTAGAAGCTCCATGGCATCGTCTTCGTCCTCCATCTCTTCCTCTGTGATGGAGAGAGCTGGGCTGTGGACTGAATCGAATGAGTCCTGTGACAACATGGCTGCAAGGAGCTTCTTATGATGCTGCTGCTGCTCCTTTAGCCCTTTGCTCTTTGTTTCCATCTTCAGGCTGAGGGAGACATGCAGAAGAGAAGTCAGGGCTTAGGAGCTGAAGGTAAACACGGAATCATTTCTCCACCCCCACTACAAAATGGAATCATTATTTATTTAGAGGACAGAGGAAATGAGCACATTACATACTTTAGTTGTTGCTGATTTATGTCCATGCACTGTCCCCAGTGTGTAAAGCACTTGAAAGTTGAATGTGAAGTTCATTCACAGTAGTGGGGCTTCAACCTACTGGAAATTATACCTACTGAAGAAAAAAACTGCACATTTTATAATAATGGTGTTATTATAGAAATTACATTCTCTCATACTAAACTGTCAGGGTTTATCTCATCAGACTATTCGGGCTATCCAGCAAGTACAAAATCCTGTACATGTTGCCTCAGCAGGGTGCTGATGCACAACTACATTTAAAGTGTGTTTCACCACTGGATGCACTTAGCAGCCATTACACGGTCATAACACAGAATGGCATACAATCATTTCAAGTGCCATCCAGGTGTGGTATAATCTGCTAGAAATGGTTAGCAGGGAGAAGATGAGGAGGAATCACTGCTCGAAGGTGAGCAACACAATGCAATAGTTGTAGCACTCACCACAAGCCATTAACAGAAGCATTTAGGGGACATGGGATTAAAAAGAGGGCCTCAGCCAGTGAAGGTTTTAGTATGTTAAATGCTTCCCCCGCAGTTTTTA